CCGACCCCGCTGGCCTCCGTGAGCCGCAGGGCCGCGCGGTACCCGGGGCAGCCGCCCTCGAGCTGTCCGGCTGTGTGGGGCCGGTCTGAGGCGGCGAACACGGAGCGGGGCGAAGTACAGGGGTTGTGTGAGGTGGCGGTGGCCGCCGCCGGCGCTCGCCAGGAGCAGCGCCAGAGGAGTGCGAGACACCCTCCCAAAATCCCAGCAGAAGGATGGCGCATGCCCCTTTGTCCGGCTCTGCCCATCTCGGCACATGTCGCTGAGGGGACACGGGTGGCAGCGTGTCCCTGCCCCACGCTCGGGCTTGTCCGTGCCACCGCTCTCGGTTTGTCCAGCCGAACCACTTAGCGATAGCAGCTAGATAGCTAGCCATTCGCCCTCACTCGCCAAACGACAAAAACACATAGATAACAAAAAACCTTCACAAAACCTACATTACAAAATACTGTAATATAATGCAGCAAATAAAAGCTCTACACAGGCGGTATCAGTAGAAAACCCATGAATTCCACTATATTTTATGTATTTTTAAAATACGTTGTATAATGTATAGTAGAATGGCAGCAACGTCACAACCCGTGGTTATCATTCAACATAAAAAACACTTTATTTTTTCATAGCCAATTGAATATTTTCCTAGTAGTCATTACTGCTTATGTTACTATTATTACTGTTTATGTTGCTGCTTATGTTACTATACTATATTGTAGGCATAGCTTAACATGCATTTGCTATTAACCACTCAGGAGGACCCAGACCAGCGCTGTGCTGCCTCTGTTATTTCAAGGTCTGTTGGATTCTTCTGAGCATAGAAGTGTGAAGAAGGAGGGTATGTGTTGTTTTTCTCTGTGTATACATCCAGGTGTGGTGGCAGGTGACAGACAAGTTTCCAAAGCTGTTGAAAAAGCAAGTGACTGGATGCTTTACTTCACAAACTGAGATCAGATGGTTCTGAAAAGGTGAATAGAACAGTCTGCAGTGTGAATAGGAAAAGTTTGCAGTGTGACTGGGGGGAAACCTTGGCATCCAAACCTGGACACCAGTCTTTTTATGTAGAACTATAATTGGAATATTGTGACTCCATGACAGTAATACTGCTATGAAATATTTGTATTTGGGTGACATGATCCTGCTGAAGCCTGTCTGTTGGGCAAAGGACCACATAAATCACAGGAAAGGGACATAAAAAGATAAAATTGTTAAGCATTTCAGGTAATGGAAATTTAAAGTCATGGCTCAAGTGAGGTGACAGCTCTGTAGACCCTAAGTAAATTTACTTCTCTTCAAGGAAAGGATTTATGAGATGGTGTGGCACTTTCCAATAGTAAATGCATCCATAGTGTGGCAGAGACATATTTGGAATTTCAACAGCCTAAGGGCTGAGTAAACCCTATTGGTGTCCTTATTTTGGCTGGAAAGTTTAATACACCCAAGCCCAGCCTTGGGGCTTGTCATGGCTCTGTGTGTTAGAAGCAATCCATGAGAGAGCAGAGTTCAAGCTGTCAGACAAGGGAAAGGCTTTAGGGAGCACTCACACAAGTGCTCAGCCATCATCTGTACGACTAGCAGTAATCACAACCCGGGGTTGGACTCAGAGGAACTATTTTAGTTATTTCAGTTGCCCCAGGTTCAGCCAGATAGGGTTATGTAGTTGCATGTTCAGTACTAAACCTCTTGTGCATCTAAATGAGTAAAAGATTAGTACTTTTGAGTGTTTCTGACCACCAGGAAATGAAACGTAGTAGAAAAATAAGACCTCTCCAAGCAGGTTTGTAAAATATAACCTTTTGTAGAGGCTCATTACCTGTTAATTTTTTTCTATCAGTGTGTTTGGCTTTTTAAAAAAAGGCAGTTTTTCTAATGCATAGCAATTCTATCTAGTGATCTGAAACTCTTCAACTTTTTCCATCACTAGTAATGATGAATTCTAATTACATCTTAGTTGACAACTTTATTAAGGAGCAGCTGACTAGAACTCATTCCTGCCCTAAATAGGCATTTTGGCTTTGAAGGGGTGACAAGAAATAGCTTTGCCAGTGAAATGCAACACACCTTGTTTATTTTCAGTATGTTCTTTAACTGTGAGAGGTTTCTCACCTCTGAACTTCCTCCTTCTGCTACTGCTTTATATCTTCACATGTGCTTTGGTATTTCAACTGCAAAGCTGAGCTGCACAGGACAAGGAGGTCCCTCCATTCTTGATATTCATTGCCAAATCACCCCCAAAAAGTACTGAATGTTTTCCTCAACATGCAGAATAGCAAGGATAGCTTGTCATACATCACTTTTCAAAACTGTTTATATAAATGCAGTATCTTTAATCCATCTGATTGCAGAGAGGCCAAGGTTTTATTCTGTTTTTGTCACACTTTAAATAAATTTACCCTTGAGGACGTACATATGGACACATTGGCTAATTAAAGCTCAAGGAAATAGGAATATGTAGTTGAGCTTAGCAGCATTTGAACAGCTAAGTTATTCCTGTACCCTTAGAAGTGTTATTATTACATGTTAAGACTTTAGTTGAACAAACAATTCTGCCTACCATGGGCACCAAAGTTATAATTTTGCTGTCCTACATAATGCTTTTTCCAT